CATACGCAAATTCCTTTTAAATTGCTGCCTAAACAGTGTTTTTTTTGTTTTTGTTTTGTTTGTTATTCTTTACGGTGGACAGAATGTTTATAATAACGCATGAATGCTATCGTGTTTACACGACGACAATGCAGATTGAACCATCGTTGACGGATATTCGCATCAGTTGATTCCAGGAGAGTAGGTAAGATATTTCTATTCCTTGATATCATTCATTGATGCATTACGATGCTGCTGACACTCCATTGCTCTTTTATGCATCTGTAAACACCCTGTGAATTCTAAGTGATTTAATGCCGACTCAATATTTTCTTAACATGCTATTTTCAATGGAGTGTCGAAAATTCGTGGTCGTTACTTGCTTCAATGCGTCTACACCAAGCCCTTTTTGTGCAGATTCCTAACCTTGGTGGTGAAATATTTTTTCTTTGTTTATCTTAGGTGTAATAGATCCTCACTCTTGTTTTGAGAATTTAATCATTGGCCTGTGTAGAGTACATTGGACTTTATTTTCCCTTTTTACTAGACGTTATTCTTATTTCTTAACAAAGAAAGTTATCTGTAAGAATTCCTAAATAATTAATGTCGCTCTTAATTTGTATTTTTCTATTTTGCTTGAATGAGAGTCAGAAGAACGCTCGAAATATGCCTTGTTTATCATTTTAGCAAGATAAGAGCACTTTAATCAAATGTAAATACAGGAATTTTTCGCTTTTTTCGGTTTCACTCACTGCATATCCCATTACAGTACGGTAAGTAATTTGAGTAATTAACTTAAATTAGTACTGGTTGTACTGTAATGTTTAGTACTGGTTATTGGTGTTTTATGTGGCTTGGAAAGATTTTGCTCCAAAATACTCCCACCAAAATGTTCCCCCTAAAATAATGTTGCCAAAAGGAATGATGTTGATTGATCAGTTCCTACTAAAATTGTTACTCAAAAATATGACCTTGATTAGTCAAGGTTAAACTCGAAGATAAGTGCGAGCTTATGGACAAACACGTTCACTGGGAGATGGGACTCGTGGCCGATACTGTCCACAGAGATATCTAACCTTCAGTTTTGATGATTGTCTTATCTCTTGCTCATTGGTGTTATTCTTGACATCCAACTTATGGCAAAAAGTTCGCTCTTTTTTGAAACTTTGATATAATACTCTTTTTTCTCCATTTATAAGGAATGAAAAACAAAAATCAGCAGACATGAAACTTGAGCATGATTTATGCTTCAACTCATTTTGATGCAACTAATGCCATGACGTGTATTCAAGTGAATCTTCTGAGCTCAATTCCTGATACACTAAAGACTCTCCGTGTAGATGAGCTGATGCAAGTTAAATCTATTGAGGCTACAAATCCTCTGGTTGGCGTGTTGTAGAAATTTGGAGAAGGGGATACGAGATCAGGTGTTGTTATCGTCCCTTGACCAATATTGAAAATCCCGAGGTCCCTTGCGCCAATTAACGGTACTAAATTTGGTATTCTCATATTTCGCTTATAAAATCTTAATTATTATTTCCAACAGTTGTTTTCATTGTTTCTTAATCAAGAAGAAAATATTTATAACTATTTAAAATTTAAAAATTCATTTCCTTGCTTGTTTGTTCATTGAATGGACAACTTATTAATTTCGTATTTTTTAAACATGTCACCGAAGTTATACAGTCTTTTTGTCAAAATCGTTCTATTTTTTTCAATACTGTGGATATATAAACTATACGACTTGATTGTTCTTTTAGAATAAGTGTTAGATTTTAGTTTTTAAACACAAATTTATATGTAATTTTCATTTTCTTTATATTTTACTCGTCCTCTATGTTCACACATTCTTGCCTTAAGAAATTAAATATTTCTGTAAAATATCTTTTACATGAGAATAAAATAAAATAAAATAATCACACACTGCGAGTTTTCTTCTGAAGCAATATTTTCCTATAAAAAAGGCTTAGCAAACATCTACACTTTCTGGGAAACTTCTTTTTGTTTAATTTTTGTTCTGTTGCTTATCCAATATTTTCAGACCTTTTTATAAAATGCTTTATATGACACTCTTTAAAGCTTACAACAATACAAAGTATGTTGAAAATAGTGTTCATAGCTATTTCATTATTATCATGAAAACATATATTTCGAATCTTATATGTGTATCTTGCAATCATATGTATGAGATTAGAAATTCTATATTTATAATACTTTCGAATATTACCTTACGTTAAGTCAGATGATTACAATTTTTTATGTTAAAAAATAATGACATGTTATTATATTTTTTTCATATGTTTATAAAAACAAATGCTTCCCCCTTTCCTAGAAAAGACTTTAGTGTGATAGAATAATTTCACTGATTTTTTTATATCATTATGTATGATTGTAGGAGTAATTTATAAAAATTTCAGTCTCGTACAGCACTTACCATCAAAAATAAATTTTCTGATTTGTATTTTTGATATAGTAAGTGTAAAATAGCTTGTTTATGCATTAAAGTGCAATTCAGAATTTGCAATGAGTGTTTGAGAGGGAACAAAGAATTCATTTTATGAAAAATGCGGTATATACAGTTACTGCTTAAGTGAACTTAGTTGTAACACTTACTACATGGATCTATTCAGTTATAAATATAAACTTGACATTTATGATGAAAAATAGTTAAAAATGAATGACAAATGACAGTAAAACTTATTAATGTCATACTATTCAAGAACGAACTAGTTAAGATTTTATACTTTTCTCAGTGCTATTTCTATAATTAGAGACTTTGAAATCCAAATGTTCACTTTATTTTACATAATTAAAAAACCTACCCAATATTGCATGACATTTTTAAATTATGATTTAAGTACCGTAAAATAAAATCCTCTATATAACGCACACTTTAAACACACAAAAATAAGGTCGAAGTTTACCGGTGCGTATTATACGCCGGTAAAAATCACCGATCATAAAATATTAGACTTCTTCATACATCGAAATACATTTTATTTTTAAAAAATGACCTACCTTATGAACTTAAGGAGTTATTGGTTTAGAGGTATACTCTCTCTCTACTCTCTCTTTCTCTCTCTCTATTTTTTCAAAAGCCTAGGGTAATACCTTAAATAAATGACTTAAAAACATAAGAACATTCCATACATACATTTCAAGTTTCTTTGTAACAAGTAATATAAAAAAAAATTAACTTAGGTTCCTACTTAGGTCAACTAAGAAAAAATTTATTTTAGTTACTTTTTAGTAAATAGTTACAATTAATATAAATATGTATATACATATGACAGAATCACAATATTAAATAACAACATAGAAATCGATTTTCCTTGCAATTTTTCATTTTCCTTTCTATATATGGTGTTGGACTATTTTCTTTTGATACTGTTTATTCATTATTTAGTAAAAAGAAATCCCATTCACAGAAACTAGGCCATCCCAGGTGGGATTCGAACCCACGACCTTTGGATTAGAAATCCAACACACTATCCATTGCGCTACAGGGACACAAAGCAAGATTTTCCTTTCTATATATGCTGTTGGATCTTTATTTTGTTTGTTACTATTTATTCATTTTTTAATTTAGTTAATGAATTAATAGTTAAAAGAACTGTATTAACATCAAATGTCATACACTACAAGTTTAAAATATGTATTTGAACTTGAATGGATAAATAGAAAGTATTTTATTAATGATTGAAAATTTGAACAAGATATATATATATATATATATATATATATGTAGGGAGGGAGTGAACTAATAGTAGAGAGAGAGAGAGAGAGAGAGGAATTGAAAAAAAGGGTGCGCGTTATACGGCGAATATACCTGAAAATCAAAAACTGCCACTTGAAAATATAGGTGCGCGTTGTGCGTTGGATTTTATGATATACTTAAATTATAAATTAAAAAATGAACTCTTGAAATCTTAAAAATATTTTACAAGAATGCTGTGATAAAATGAAGGCAGAATAAATTTGATTTACTTGACGATATCTTCTCCTTTACTTTCCCCCCTCCTCCACGTGCGCCAGTTGTTATTTCTTTGAAATGAATCTTTATTAAACACTTTCTTTTTCAAATTTCTACTCACACGTTATGAGATAATTTTTTTCCGGCCCTCAAACTGGTCGTATGCCTACGTTCTTCTCTCGAAGAGTTCAACTATGGATCCAAACAGTAATTTAAGGCTTAGAAAGATATGAGCCATTTTTTTGAATGGGATGTCGAATTTGATGACCCTTTTTTGAATGAAAAGAGGTAGGGTGAAATAACAATAAAATCGAGGCTGGTAAAAAGGAGAGGAGGGAGGAAAAGAAGCTTGACATTCAAGATCCCGCTCGTATCACCTTAGGTGCGGTATGGCGTCAAAGAAGCCATTTTGGAAGCAAGTCAGGCAGTGAATTTATAAAATGTGGGGAAAGCCACAGTGGGCGGAGAGCCCAGGTGTTATTTTATGAGCTTCTTAAAACATCCAGGTATGGACTGTAAAGGGATTAACCTTCCGCCTGGTATTTTGTGGGATTACTGTGATTTTATGAATGGAGAAGTGACTACTGATTTAGATATAAATTTGATATGACAACAAATGATGATAAAGCGTGCAAAATGGACCAACTCACTTCTCATTGTTTTTGAAAGAGAAATGAATATTTCCATCAATGTTACTTTAAGCGTGGGATTAGTTTAAATGCATGAATAAATAATATTCCCCCATTGGATTAATAGCATTAAAGAATAAACAAGTAATATAAACAATTTTTTAAGTCAATTCAAACTTAGGTCAATAAAGACAAATTTTATTTTAGTTACTTTTAATTAAATAGTTACAATTAATATAAATATGTATATACATATGACAGAGTCAAATATTAAGTGACAAAATAGAAAGCGTTTTACTATTCTATATATGATGTCGGACTATTTTTTTTGTTTGTTACTATTTATTCATTTATTAAATTTAATTATTCTGATAAAATAGTATAGTAAGAAATAAATCCCTATCTCACAGAAAGTTGGCCATCCCAGGTGGGATTCGAACCCACGACCTTTGAATTAGAAGTCCAACGCCCTATTTATTGAGCAGCGGGGACACAACGAACAATTTTTCTTTCTATATATGCTGTTGGACTGTTATTTTTGTTTGTTACTATTTATTCATTTTTAATTAAATTAATTAATTAATATTTGAAAGAACATCAAGTGTCATCGCTACAAGTATAAAAAATGTATTGGAACTTGAATGGATGAATACAAAGTATTTTATTAATGATTGAAAATTTGAAATATATATATATATATATACAGAGAGAGAGTGAGAACGAATAGAGTAGAGAGAACAATTGAAAAAGGAGGATTATGAAAGAAGTAAGGGAATCTATATCTGATTTAATTCATAATAAAAACTCTGATGCACTGAATAATGACTACTGAATAATGAGTGATATTTTTAATTAATATAATTAACTGGAAACTTAATAGAGTTAATGGTTGAATTTGATTTAATGGACCTGTGTATCATAATATGATCTAATGCACCATGTACAGCAGTAAAAATTCACAGTTATTAAAAAAATAAATAGAAACTCGCACTTCTATAAATGAATATCAGCCACTTCTGATGTATAGAATCATTCTATGCTTTAAATAAAACACTCCATTTGTGATTGAAAATCCAAAATTTCTACAAATTAATATCTCTAGATAATTGATTCTAAAACTTTTTTTTTGTTGTGGTACAATTTTAAAATTTCAAAATTTGGAAACACGCAAAAAATAAAATGAGTTTAAAAGAATTTTATTTGTCTGTAATGCACTTTCCAAAATAGTTAATGATGATAATTTTCAATGTTAAATAAAATAATATGTATGGCAAAGGTAACAAAATATATGTTGAGTAACTAACCCTTAAGGTATCCGACTACGTTCGGAACCTTGATTTTAAAAAAGGTATAAATGGATAATTTTCATGATATTTAGTGTCACTCAGTTTAAAATACATGCATAAAATTGTTTTAAGGACATTTGGACAAAAAAAAAAATATTTAAATACAATATTTTGTCAAAAAACTAACTTAGAATAATTTTTTTTCAAAATGTTCTCCTTTTGTGAAAAATGCTTCTATTATAATAATATTTTACCTGTATATAGCTCAGATCTCTCTACAGAGGCTCAACTAGAATTTTTGAAAAATTCACATTATTGTCAGAGTTACCACCAATTGAAATAATTGTTAGCGTTTTTTTCTTAAAATTGCTCCCCTCTGTTGTCGTAAAATATGGATAAATCCACTTCTAAGTTATATATTTCAAAAATTCTAGTTGAGCCTCTGTAGAGAGGTCTGAGCTATGTACAGGCAAAATATTATTATAATAGAAGCATTTTTCACAAGAGAACATTTTAAAAAAAGATTATTCTAAGTTAATTTTTTGAAAAAATATTGTATTTAAATAATTTTTTTTGTCAAAATGTCCTCAAAATAGTTTTATACATGTATTCTAATCTAAGTGACACTAAATATCATGAAAATTATCCGCTTATACGCTTTTGCAAAATCACGGTTCCGAACGTAGTCGTATACCTTAAATGCATGGATTTGTTTTGAATTTAAAAAAAATCCTTTTTTATAGGAATGTAGTCATATCTTACGTAAAAACTAAGTAAAAAAAAAATCAAGTAGTAAAGTTGTATCTAGTCTTTTGGTAACATACAGCACTTCCCAATATCTGGCATATACTGAGTAAAATTTTCAAATGCAACCTGAAACATTGATAATATACCTGAAAGCAGATGAGGAGTAATTTTTTCTCAATTAGATAAGTCACTCCTTTGAAGGAAATTTAGAGAAAATATCTGTCCAAGTAAAGCTCTGAACTTTATCACTCACCTTATTAAATGACAAAAAAAAAAAAAAAAAAAAAACAAACAACTTGCCCACCAAAGGTAATGTCATTTTTTTTCTCACAGCATTTACTGTCTGTGCTTGTCTACGTGCGTTCAGAAGTAAAAACACTCAAAACTCTTAATAAAATTAGGTGGAATGTAGACAATCGGCAGCAATATGCGTTTTAGGGATAATTATAAATTAATTAAAAATAAGTTAATATACCATGGGGTATATTAACTTACCCTTAGTTTATTTCTTATAAAACAGCCGAATGATTCTGTTCTGGATTTTCTTTTCTTTTCTCAGATAATGATTAATAATTTTATAAAAGCCTGTTGGCTCAAAAAAGTGCCCCGACACATTGGTTGAGAATCACTGCTCTAGATAAAAATAACATATTTTACATAAAACATTGACTAAATTTTTTTGTCATTTTAAAATCCCTGGTGCATTTTTGGAATCATTATAAAAAAAGAATGACAGGTTTAGAAAACATAGAATCTACTCGGTGAAAGAAAAAATGTAGAATAATATAAGAAGAAATGTAGAATGCTACTCGTGATGAAAATGTAGAATGTTACTCGTGAAGAAAATGTAGAATGTTACTCGTGAAGAAAATGTAGAATGCTACTCGTGAAGAAAATGTAGAATGCTACTTGTGAGGAAAATGTAGAATAAGTTATATCTTAAATTAATATAATTGATAGGATATTAAAGAGATTCACGAGTTGAACAGGATTTAATGTCCCCGTATTATAATATGATATAATACAGCATGTACAGCTGTAAAAATGTATAAATGATGAAAAAGTAAATAGAAAATCATACCACTAGTAAATGAACATCAACCAGTGGCAATGTAAAGAATCATTCCAAATTTTAAATAAAACACTCCATTTGCGATTCAAAATCCAAAATACACGTACAAATCAATATTTCTAGATCAATAATATTTTTTGCATAAAATATTGATTAAACTTTGTTTTATTTACTCTGCTTGTAATAACTGATTTATAAAAAAGTAAAGCATAAGCTATTTGTAATGACTTTGATCTTCCTTTCACCATACTTAATTTGCTTTTGCCATTCTTATTTTTTGATTTAGTATGTAAGAAAAATACATAATCTTTAAAAGTAATAAATTGACTTTCATTCTGTTTAATTTGCTGGATTCAATAATTAATACTTGAGAAGTTCCGGGTCTTTCATTAGTTTAGATGGAGTGGATGATAATGCGGTAGTGGTTTATCTTGCCATCGATTTTGGGGAACAATTTGTTTCTGTACTTCCGAATTATCGACATTTATAGCACCCAAAGAGATGGATGCGCTTATTTTTACTTGGGGCTTAAAAGCAGGGAAAAAGTCAACTTCAAAGATTTATTAGTTCAAAAGAAATATTCTTTCACTAGGTATAATTAGTGTTTCCAAATTACTTTGAATACATAAGATATTAAGAAATATATTTTTTTTATCACTCTTTCATTTTCATAATAACTATGATGATTTTTCATTAAACCACATAAAAATTGATGCACAAGTCAAGTCTATGTAAAAGATAAACAAAGAAATAAACAAACAAGAATGAAGGTTTTTGGTAGTTTGGTTAAAAATTGAACATGTATTAAATGTTCATTAAACTACATTAGGGTTGAGAAGAAAGATCGAAATGATAATATATTTTTTTTTAGGCATTATATGTAATTATCTATGGGACAAGAATGTACTTTTTTACTGGTTTTTACTTTGTAATTATATTGAACGTATATTCGTTAATGTTATACAGAATTTTTAACTTTATTTCTTTTTCCATCGAGTGAACTTCAATAAGTAATACTAGATGTTTAAAACAAATAAATAAAAAAGATAATTTGTCTTAAATAAAGTATATAGTTTAATAATCAGATAATCAATAATTTGTTTCATTTAAGCACCGTAAATCTTTTGTTAATTTATTGGTTTATTGTTAAGTGCTCAGTAACGAAGAATATATGTGTTTACAAAGAAACGATGTTTGTTTAATTTGTCAAAAAAAGTAAAAATGAGGAGGTTTTCAAAAGATAAAAAATCTCGTATAAGTGGACAAGGATTATGATAAATTTATTTAAAAGATAAAAATGGATATACAAATAGAAATGAATAATCAATAGTTTCTCGTAATAAAATAATTATACATATTAAGAAAAAGATTATGAAATTTTGTGTGTGCAAATAATGGATTAGGTAAACAGTTTTTTTTTTAATTTGGCTTTAATTTAAGTTTAATTATTAATTTTTTAAACCATCATATATTCAAATTTATCTCTCTCTCATCAGATGAAAACTTAAAAAATATATTACCTAAAGTCAATTAGATTTAAATAAATACTACGACTTTATTTTTAGGGAAAATTAACACATTTTTATTTAAGAAGCTTTATATATGATACAATTTTTGATATTTACGTTATATTAAGATATGTGATTTCGTTATTTAATAATATATATTTTCTGATACATAATAAATTCCGTAAATAAGAACATTACCTAGTCTTATTTCTAAATATATTTCTCATGATTATTTTATCTATCTAAAAATGATTTGAATAAATAAAACGTTTTCACATGGATTTTTTTAAATGCAGTTTTATGAAATTACTTTTCCTGAGTGGATGCTTAAGATCTCTTTCTTGATTGAATTAAGTTCTCAATTTCTAATTTCTAATAATGCTGTATGTTTTAAATGATCATTTTTTTTTGTAAGTTTAAAAACAGACAATTATTTTTTGAGTTAATTAAATTAAAATAAATACAAGGGATATTGAGATTTGCATGCTACCTGTATTATGCCTCACACGTTTATGTTGGGGGTGCCCCGCCAAAAGACTTTTCATAGAAAATAAGGGCTATTTCAAGATAACAAATAATTGCATATTCTTATAATATTTTTTGAATTAAACACTTGGAAAAATAACACAATGATTGTTATTAAAAATTACACTGAGCTAAAAATATTATAAAATTTTTTTGGTTTAGTATACTACTTAATGCAAGTAAAAAATAGCGATTTGAAGCATAAAAATATTTTTTATGTGCATAAAATAGTTTTTCTTTAGCAGACACTTAATTATACAAAAAATTTCAACAATAAGCTTATTTCTGTCACATTTTTCAGTCGTAAGAGAGCTAAAAGAAGAGGTTCTAACACAATAGGCCTTTTTTGAAGAA